AAAAAAAAAAAAAAAAAACCACAATTCATGCACAAAGCAAATGAGTGCTCCTGCCTCCAGCTGAAGCCTCCTTTTCATTTGCTTTCATCCTGAATTGAGTAAAACTTTCAGTGAAAGACACACAGTACTCAGAGACACAAATCAGCTGAATGTCATTTTTATGTAGTTACTAAACTCACTTCATGATTTCTATTTTTCTCCCTCTATGACAACATAAAACTGGGGTGGGGAGTGGAAAAGGAAAAGGTCCCAGCTACCTCCCTGAAACATTAAAAGACGGGAACTCATTCCGATGCACACCATGAGCCAAACCTAGAACCTCACACATGAGCATGAAGGAACCACCAGTGCTTGAATAAATAAAAGATCGATCTCGTACTTCAAATTTCTTCAGCAAATACAGTCTGGAAGGAAAGCAACTGTAATATCTGCAAAAGTAACAATAAAAACCAGTACAGCACGGTGAGTCGGAGTACGCTCTTTAGGGCAGGGAGGATCAGGTCACCAATCACACACAACATACACTACCTACCTTACCCATATCTGCTCCATGAGTTTCCACTGGTTCCCAAAGCTAAAAAAAATTGACATAAATAAGATCTATGCCTGAACTGGTACCAGTAAGAATCAAAAAGCACAGAAATGATTTACAAGGTAAGAAAAATGGCCTTTATACTAAAATGTTCCTTCATTCAGATTTTGTAGTCATTTGTGCCTAGACCAGCTGAATTCACTCTTTCTCAGTTTCTTAGGCCAGCTTCTTATAAGCCCTAGGCAAGAGAGGAGGGTCACCCCAGGGCCAGGAGACCATCGCAGGAAAAGGGATGCAGTCCCCTACTTTGATCCTCACGGCCAGCACTCAAGGGCAGGTGTGCCTTTAATTCGCAGCAGCAGCAGCTCCCAGGAAACTCTCCCAGGGCAGCAGCTGCTGCTAATTCCAAGTTGAAAATAAATGTGCTTGTTTCTCTTTTCTAGGGGAAGGGAGGGGAAAGGAATGTTCCTCCCCTAACCACACGTCAAAAACTTAGTGTGCAGATGCACGGAAATACAGGACCGACTGGCAGAAGACACCTTGTTTGCACCTCTTTCAGACCAGCTTAAAAACTGGTCTTTTCCACTGAGAAAAATATATCATTTTTAGGCTGAGAAAGCAAAATAAAAACAGCCCCCTTGTAATAACCACCTAGGAAATACACTCTTCTTTTTTGAGAGGCAAAGTTATTACAGAAAATTTACTTATTTTTCCTAAGACTGAGAATTTTGGCCCGCTCAAAAAAGGGGGGGCACCAGCTACCACCTGGTGACCATCCGCTATTAAAGCACCTTTTCAAACCCTCTACAAAGGCTCCACACCTAAGAGAGCCACAGTACCAAATTACAACCGAAGTAACAGGGTATAAACGTCATCTAAAGGATAAACCCAGCACTCGGAGGCTGAGGCAGGAGGATCACAGAGTTTAAGGCCAGCCTGAACTACACAGAGAGACACAGACACAGAGGGAGGAAATCATCTAAAGGAAATACTGTACTGATAAAACTTTTTTAAAAAATCATCTACAAAAGATCTTTCCTGGGGCTGGGGATTTAGCTCAGCGGCAAAAGCGCCTCCCTGGCAAGTGCAAGGTCGTGAGTTCGGTTCCCGGTACCGGAGAAAAACCGACCAAAAAAAAAAAAAAAAAAAAAAAGATCTTTCCTGCCAGGCTTGGTGGCATATGCCTGTATTCCCAGCACTGGGGAGGTTGAGGCAGGAGGATAGCTGCGAGTTCAAGGCCAGCCTGGGCTACTAAGTGAGCTAAGGACAGCCTGAACTGCAGAGCAAGACCTCGTCTAAAAAAGACCAAAAAAAAAAAAAAAAAAGAAAAGAAAAGCCCCTTTTGCTCAACTGATCAAAAATTCTTTTCCACCGTTTCCTTCCCGCCTCTAAACTCAAACCAAAGCAAGAGCTTCAGGATATACCAAGAACCCACCTCTGATTTTTTTTACCTAGTGGTCAGTAGAAACTTTAAAAACTTAAGTTTTTCAATGCATGTTAAGTGTAAAGCTTTTCCGATGTGGTTCAAGTTTGAAAGCTACATTGTAATTTTTTTTTCCAAGAATCTTCCCATTCACACTCTTGATACTAATTTTATGATGCCTTAAAAACAAACAAAAACTTGGACTCAATTTCTAGCTGCCATCAGAGTAGTAACTTTGAGTTCCTATTTTTCTAGAGTTCAAACCTGGCCAATGAAATCCAGTTTTCTTTTTCATGGTTTAAAAAAAGAGGAGTTTCGAAAAGCCAAGGTCTGGGCACTGTACTTCTCAGCCCTGGAGACAGAGGCAAGGAGCCTGTTGCTATCTATAAAATAACAAATAATCCACTTGGATATTTTGGGCTGTTTTCTCAAAAGCTCTTCTGTTCACTGGCTTAGCTACCCTGCTTAGGAGACCAAAACTTTAAAGGTATATCCTAACTGCATCGTGCGATTTTAACTCCAAACATCCGGCCACCATATATGTTCACAAACATTACAAGTTAGCCAGGGATGCTAGTTTTATTTTTCAAAGGGCCACAAACAGTCCCCAATGGAGAAAAACTTTAACGCATTCATGCAAATTTGAGTCGACTCCCGTCATCCTCCTAGCAAGACATGGTAGGCCAAGATGCCGCCAAGTACCAACGGAGCGATCTGGAGGCAAGGATGCCACCCTGTCTCGAAGGGAAAGTCCAGGGTCCCGGCTCCGGCCGGGAGGGCCCGCGCTCCGGACCCGCGAGCACGCGGGGACCCCGGGCGCCCCTCCCAGGGGGTGTAAGGGCTCGCCGCGCCCCGCGGCCCGCGCCACGGCACAGGCTTAGAGCCGAAGTACTCCAGCGGACTCGCGGTCACCGCCGCTGCACCGCCCTGCGGGCCCGGGACTCTCGGGGCGCTCCCCGGCCTGCGCCCCGCTGGGGGCCCCGGAGACCTGGAGGTCGGGGGAGCCGGGCCCAGGGACCCCGCGGGGCGC